ACCTACTAATGTGTCTTTTATATCTGTTAGTTTCGGGTCCAACCTGTTAGGAAATTGACTTAATTTCTTTTTAGATAGAATTCTTGTTTTGTGTGGAAGTAACTAGTTTCCTAATTAGTTTTAGTTACTTGAAGTAGTAGTCAAGTAAAGCTCTATTTAGCTAGATACTATTTCCTACTCTATATGAGTTTAGGAAATAGTATTGATTTTCAATTGTTATTTGGTTTTTTTGACAGTAATATTCTCTATAAATATGTAGGTTGGCATACTACAAAGACACACAAGAAAAGAGTGAGAGAGTTCTTAGTGGGTGAGAGAGTTATACAAGAGTTGGGGCTTGGGAATCAAGTTGTAATCTTGTGGTGTTTTTCTCTCATAGTAAGAACAAGTATTTCTCTCCGTGGACGTAGGCTTAGTGATTAAGCCGAACCACGTTAATTCTTGTGCGTTGCTCATCGTTCGTGCTAGATATAGTTTTCTATTAAATTGTTGGTCTTTTTCTTTTTCAAATAATTGGCCTGATACCCTAACAAGTGGTATCAGAGCTCCGTTGGGATTTTGGTTAATTATTTGAAATTGAGTGGGTGGTTGTATACCATGGGGTTTGAAACTATACAGTTTCCAATTCAACAGTTTAATGGAACTACAAGTTTCACTCTTTGGCAAAGAAGAGTGCAAGATGTTCTAGTTCAACAAGGCTTAGCAAAAGCGTTGAATGGAAAGAACAAGAAGCCAGAGAGCATGAATGATGATGAGTTTGAGGAGTTGGACGCAAGGTGTGCGAGCACGATTCGGCTCTATGTGGTGGACAACATCATAAATAATGTGGTCGATGAAGAAGATTTGCAGCAGACCTCTGGAAAAAATTGAAAAAACTTTATCTGGCTAAAAGCTTATCCAATAAGTTGCATCTAAAGTGACAACGTTATGCATTAAAGATGGTAGAGGGGTGGCAGTCTCATGAACCACATGAATACGTTCAACGGAATTTTGGATCAACTCCAAAAAGTTGGCGTGAATATTGAGGAAGAAGATAAGGCCCTTTTACTTCTCACCTCAGTCTCTGATTCTTACGAAAGTGTCGTGACGACCCTGTTATATGGGAAGGACACTTTAGAGTTCGAGAATGTGCAGTCTTCTTTGTTGGATCATGAAAAACAAAGGAAGGCAAACCAAGAGGTGACACAAGAAGTTGCGTTAATTGCTCGAGATGAGAATAAAAGAGAAAAATAATTTGGCGGTGAATCTAAGGCAGGTGGTTCAAAGGGCAAGAGAAAGGGTGGAATCCAGTGTTTTGGTTGTCATGAATTTGGCCATATCAAAAGATATTGCCCTCATCGAAAGAAAAATGATGAGAATGACTATGATAATGTTGCTGGATATATATCGGGTGGAGATATTCTCACAATCTCCAAAGGTAATAATACTTCTTCTCGTGATGATTGGATTTTAGATTCTGGATGTGTTTCACATGTTTGCTCCAGGTTAGATTATTTTGATACTCTCCAAAGAAAGAAGGCAGGTTTTATGTTCTTGAGTAACGGATCTACTTGTCAAGTCAAAGGTGTTGGAATGGTGAAAATCAAAATGTTGAATGGAGAGATTCGTTCTTTGGGTGGTGTGACTTATGTCCCAAAGTTACGAAGGAATCTAATTTCTTTGAACCAGTTAGACTCCGAGGGTTGCCATTTTTCCGCTGCAGGTGGAGTCTTGAAAATCACACATGGCGAGACGGTCTTGTTGATGGGGAAGAAGTATGGTAATTTGTACCATTTGAATACCTCAATGGATTGGGAGCGGAAGGGGATCCAGGAATGCTCTCAAATTACAAATGGTGGTGAGAGGGTGAATTGAGGCCCCTCTAGCAAGTCAACTAGATGTTGGACTCGGTTAGCTACATACGTTCATTTGCCGATTGAATCAGGTGAAAATAAGACCGTCTTGATTCGGGTGTGTAGTTAGGCACCAAGATATTTGGTGGGAAAAGGCAAATGGAGTTTTTTTTGGATGATTTGCTATGTTTGCTAAAAGAAATTTTCGCCAAGGTGGAGATTTGTTAGGAAATTGGCTTAATTTCTTTTTAGGCAGAATTCTTATTTTGTGTGGAAGTAACTAGTTTCCTAATTGGTTTTAGTTACTTGAAGTAGTAGTCAAGTAAAGCCCTATTTAGCTAGATACTATTTCCTACTCTATATGAGTTTAGGAAATAGTATTGGTTTCCAATTGTTATTTGGTTTTTTTTTGCAGTAATATTCTCTATAAATATATAGGTTGGCATACTACAAAGACACACAAGAAAAGAGTGAGAGAGTTCTTAGTGGGTGAGAGAGTTATACAAGAGTTGGGGCTTGGGAATCAAGTTGTAATCTTGTGGTGTTTTTCTCTCATAGTAAGAACAAGTATTTCTCTCCGTGGACGTAGGTTTAGTGATTAAGCCGAACCACATTAATTCTTGTGTGTTGCTAATCGTTCGTGCTAGATATAGTTTTCTATTAAATTGTTGGTCATTTTCTTTTTCAAATAATTGGCCTGATACCCTAACACAACCCACTAACGTGTTTTTTCTATCACCGTTAGCATCGAGTGTATCTCACTAACATGTTTTTTAATCATCATTGGCATCGAATTTATCTCACTAACATGTTTTTTCTTTCACCGTTAACATCGATTTTATCTCACTAACGTGTACTTTTCTTTCATCGTTAGCATCGAGTTTATCTCACTAACGTGTTTTTTCTTTCATCGTTAGCATCGAATTTATCTCACTAACGTATTTTTTTATCACCATTAGCATCAAGTTTATCTCACTAACGTGTTTCTTCTTTCACCGTTAGCATCGAGTATATCTCACTAACGTGTTTTTTCTATCACCATTAGCATCAAGTTTATCTCACTAATATACTTTTTCTTTCATCGTTAGCATCGAGTTTATCTCACTAACGTATTTTTTAGCAGGTTTGAATTTTATCTCACTGACCAATCTTATGGCAGGCTTGGCTTTTATCCCACTAACCAATTTTCTGGCAGGTTCGGGTTGTATCCCACCAACTACAGCAAGATCGAATTTTATCCCACTGACCGTTTTATTTTGTTGGAGTCGGGTTTTATTCCACCAATCTGTTATTTCTTGACAATCAAATTTAATTTCTTGTTGGTGAGTCTCAGCGTCCACCGCACACCCTTCTAGCCCCCCTTCTTGACAGATCAACACATCAAATTTAATTTCCTGTTGGTGAGTCTCAACGTCCACCGCGCACCCTTCAACCCCCATCTTGACAATCAAATTTAATTTCCTGTTAGAGCGTAACTGTGTTCCTCCGCGCATCTTTTTCTAATTATGAAAATCTACTTTTCTTGACTATTTTGATTAATAATTATGCTTTCTCAGTTATTTTGTGTTTCATATTTAGAAGTTCTGAGAGTTCAGATTTCTTCAACTTTGCAAAGATCACAGATGATCAATGCACTCGTTTCATTGTGGTTCACTGGTATTCGAACTACATTTGACCTGATTCCCATGGTGGGATACGTAGGCAACTCTACATGAGTTCGGTCACGTTTTCTGCAACATTATTGCATCATTTTTGTCCAATTATTTTGGTCAAATGTTGGCTTGTTATTTTAGCTTAGTTGCAGTTAGAAAAAACAGGTAAACAATTTGGTGTCTACGTTTTTGTCTTGAGTTTCTTCAAAATCCTAGACAAAGAAGGGCAAGTTGTAGATATCAAAATTTTGTCAATTTTTAATGTTTTTTTGGACTATTTATATTTAATGAGGTATTTATTTTCTTACATTTTAATGTGTAATTTTCTCATTTTTGCAGGTTTGTTTTAGAAAAAGAAAAAATAAAACAAAACAAAAACAAAACAAAAAAAATTGATTTTTGTAAAAATAAAAAAATAAAAAAAATAAAAAAATGAAATGGAGACATCATGATGCCACCAAAATCATGATGCCACTTTTGACCGAAGGTATCCAACGAGAGAAAAAGAGGAGGCAACGGACAGAAGAAGAAAAAAAATTGCTTCGGGATCCCTCTATCAATCCTTCTCTCGGTTTAGGCGGCGGAAAAACAAAAGAAGAAAAAATTTGCTCCAGAGGTCCTCGGGCTCAACGAACAAAAGAGGAAGGTAAAAAAGGAAAACTCTCTCCTTCTCTCGGACTTGGGCAGAAGAAAGAAAATGGAGAAGGAAAAAAAAAACCCCTCTCCCTCTCGGTTTCTCCTCTCCTTACCCCCTCTCAATTTCAGACACCTACCAGCAAAGAACAAAATAAAGGGCAAGCCATTGGACAGTTGGAGATTTGGAGTTTCATCAAAGCATTTTAACCAACTCTACTTTCGGTGAGGTATCTCTCAATTTTTTGAAGCAAATTAAATTCATGTTGATTGCTTAGTTTCTCTTGCTTTTGTTGGATTTTATTGTCGATGTTGTGTTGCCAAATGTTGGGGTTAAGTTATAAACTAGATTAAGGGGAAAGAAAATAAATTATTGTATATGCGTACTAATTGTTTGAAAAATGTCAAATGTGATAGCCCCACCTCCCCCTAAGGTAGCGGACCGCATACCCAACTCTCGCCGGGACTCAGTCACTCACTACAGTTCTCAAATAAAGTACAATATAAATCTCAAATATACATCAAATGTTCCACAACTTTTCATATTATAAGTGAAGCGGAAACTAATCAATTGCACTACAAGCTAAAACCTCAAGAGATAAAAGCAATACTAATTCTCGAATAAGACAAAGGTCCTCAGTTCTCACATAAATACAAATACAATCGCAGTCTCAAATATTACACAAGGTAGAACTAAAACTCCAACGGTACAGGAGATAATCCAACCATTCACACGGAGAACTTTAATACAAATGCTTCATTCGCCTCGAGCCATGTGGAGGGGAATAAAATAGTTTTGGGGTGAGCTAGAAACTCAGCGAGTAACCAGTCAAATCAGTAATCAAAATCAGTTTCACAATAGTTCATTTCAATGATGTCATGACTCAGTAATCAAAAGTTCGTTTATTGCTCTCGTGAGCTAGTGAAATCATTGTACTTAAATATCCAATGCTCAAATAGATCAATTAACAATGAATCAGTGATAGGGAGCCCGTTGGTGCTCCAGATGAACAGTAAACAGTGGTGGAGATGTTGGTTCTAAGCACAAGACTTCCCAAGAACTCATTGAACCCAAATCATGTCATGAACTCACATGCAAGCACACAGGATATGCAATCGAGTAAATAATGCAAGAAACAGTTCATAAGTAGCTTTGGAAATAGTTTGGGGTCACTCACCAACCACGGCTCATGAATCTCATCCATTATAGACAATGTCATAGAGCAAACTCAAGCCCTTCAACTCAAACTCAAAGCAATTACATGCTTTCAAAGATCGGACAGCATTTCCCCTTACTTTCTTTATTTTCCACCCTACAATAAAAATACCAAATTGCATCTTACCAACCACAATTACACATACGGTTCATAAACAATAAAACACATCCAATTAGGGCCACAATACCCTTTCCAATCTTAACCAATTAAGGACTTCACAACCAATCAAAGCAAAGCCCTAAATGAAACCCTAAAACTGGAATTTCCGCCCAAACCAGAAATTTTCCGCAAACAATCGTATCCAACGTATACAAGCTCCATTTTATACCACAACAAGCTATCATTTCATGACCAACGAACCATAATCATACAAAATCAGAAAATTCCCCAATAAATCAGAAATTGGTTCAACTTTACTTAAAACTATGAAATCATCCACAATATAGCATATCTAACCTCCATAAACCACCAATTAACCATTATCAAAGCAAGAGAGAACTTTTTATTCAACTTACCTCAAAACTCAAGAAAGCTAACAACTTGGAGCTTCCCTTTCAAACTCACTCCATCAAAAGCTTTAAACCTCCATAGTACACATTTGTATGGAGTAGTTTCCAAAACCATCGGTGAAATCTCAAGATGTAAGCAAGAAATGGAAGAATGAAATTGGAGTTTTCTTTCTCTCTCTTCTCCCTCATGAAGCTCGGCCAGGCCAAGGAAAGAAATGAAGATATTTTGGGCCAAAAGCTAGATAAGAAGGAAAAGAATCAGCTGGTCAAAGTTGATGGCCGACATGCCACGTCACAATCTGGCAGGATTTTCAGCCAGATTCTTGGCCGGATTCAAGGCAAAACGAAATCCAATTTTTTTTCAAAACTCCAAGGCAATCCGGCCGGATTTCTGGCCGGATTCGCCAAAAACAAAGCGAACCAGAATTTTTTTTTTCCTTTCTTCTTCCGGGCGTCACATCAAAAAATGAAGAGTTGAATTAAATTGAATTATTTTTGCTAATTCAAGGTCATGGTTGGGTTGTAGAAGTCACATATAGTGTTTTGGTATAAAATTTACAATTTTTGGGAGAGATTTGAGTGATTTTAGGAAAATAAATTCGTGGTTGTAATTTGGCAATTTCGCCACTTTTGATTCATTTTTTTGGTAAAAAAGTAACTCCGGAAATGAAATCTACGCGAAAAATCGAGTGGGGTGTGTATTTTAGTAATTTTTGGCGACCGGAGAAATCGCCGGCGACAGGCGTCGGTGTCGCCGTGGCTGCCGGAGCTTCAGTTGGCCGGACAAGCAAACCCAGAAACTGCAGACGAAAGCTTCGGGCAAGATGCATGAATTTCTGAAATTTTCATTTTTTTGATCTCCCAATTTTTACCTAATTTCACTGTGGCTCAAAAACTTCTGCAAATAATCAATTCTGCCCCTTTAAATTTAAAATTTTTTTGGCATATTTTAATATGATTTTTTTTACAGATTATTTATGAATTTTAGGATGAAATTTAAGATTTAATAATTTTGATAGATTTATTATTTTGATTGGGTTTGGTAAAATAGTTGGAGGTTTTGGTTGAGGTTTGTTAGATGGGTTTTTGTATAAAATCTGGGCTATTTTGTTTGGGTTTTAGTTTATTTTATTGGGGTTTTTGGCTTGGGTTAGAAGGCTAGAGCCCATGCATTTGTGATTGGGCTGATTTAATAAATAAACGTGGGCTGGCCTACTAGTTTTCCTTTGGACTTTACTTGGGCTGAGTTGATTTTAACCCGAGGGAGAAATAAAAATGGCTCAATGGCCCAATTTCTTAAGTGATCTGGTGATGAATTGCAGAACAATCCTTGTACTTTTGAATAATTTATTGCGGCTCTAAATACTTTATGTTTCTTTCAATTAGGTCCCTAGTTTATTTGCAAATAGGTCTCTAAACTTTATTTTGCTTTAATTTTAACCCCGGATCTTTGTATAATTATAATTTGATCCTAAAATTTTTATTAATTTTTGCAATTAGGTCCCTGACAGATATGATTTTCTTAAATAAAAGTTACTTTTCTTCTTTAATTATTGATTATACTTCATTAAAGTGTTTCATTGATAGATTTCATGTTTATTTCTATTTTTTATGATTCATTTGTTAATTAAATTGGTGTCTTGATGATTTTTGTTAATTTTGGAGTTAAATAGGTAAAACCAAACCCAATTAGCTACTACTTCAAGGGAGGTATCTTCTTGTTTTATTTAAATTATCTTATATTCTCTTATGTGTTTTTATGTGTGAATTTGCTTTTTTTGAGTGATTTTCTTTTAGTTATTTATTTTATTCGTTTTAAGTTTCATATATTTAATTTAACTTTGATGATTATTTGAGAGGCAATCAAATGCCAAATTGTAATAGTTAGGGTATTATTTTACTCTTGCCCCCCTTAGATTGTCATTAGGAATCCAAATGTAATAGTTAGGTCTTTATTCGTTTTTATTTGTTTATGTGTTTGAATGCTCGTGTGCTTATGTGTTTACTCGTTTCCTTAGGATTTTTGCATCTAAATATTATGTTTACGTGTTACGTGTTACATGCTACGTGCTCTTGTGTGTTATTTGTTTTAATTTATGCCTATTTGTCTTACTATGTATTATTAATGTGTGACGTCACTACACTAGTCCAACGCTAGTTGTGACATCTCTCTCTGTTTATTTGCTAGTCCAACGCTAGTAAGAATTTTTTAGAAATGGGTTAGTCCAATGCTAGACCCCTAGATCGTTCGTGCATTAGATTCATTTTTGTATGACATTCATTACATTTTCATGCATATTTTATTTTTAGGATATTTTCTCATTTGCATGATATTTTCTATTATATTATCCTCTTGCCCCTTACCCTCTATATGTGTTAATCATATCATTTTCATGATTAACATAATCATAATCATTTTCATGATTATCCTCTTGCCCCTTACCCTCTATAGTCCAATGCTAGACCCCTAGATCGTTCGTGCATTAGATTCATTTTTGTATGACATTCATTACATTTTCATGCGTATTTTATTTTTAGGATATTTTCTCATTTGCATGATATTTTCTATTATATTATCCTCTTGCCTCTTACCCTCTATATGTGTTAATCATATCATTTAGAATTGCACTTCATTTAAGAAATTATAAAATAAGTTAGTTCATTTGCTTGTCTGTGTTAGGAGAATTATTCTTCAAACATGGGAAATGGGTGATTATAATTTTTTAGTTTAAATACCCCATTGATCCCTGTATAAGAAAATTTTGTCTCGAGTTTTTGTCTCCCGTACCTATTATGTTGCATTTCTATTCTTTGGTCACTTATACCTATATATATAATTTAACTTTCTTTTCTTTTAATTTCATTCATGCATGCTCGTGACCCTTTCAAAGAATTATTTTGGCATTCGCAATCAATGTGATCGGTATCAATTAAACCCTTGAATAGATATTTTGTCCCTTTCGATATTTTATAAATTTAGATTTGCATCCATATAGGAAACATCCAAATGTGATAAATTTAAGGGTTAGATTAAGAAAATTTTTTACTAAACCTCGCAACTAACTTAGACTAGATTGAAAGGTTGCCTTAGGTTTGAGTTAATTGAACCTTTGCCTTCCCTTGCTTCAACCGTGACTCTTGAAGTCATTTTCTCTTGTTTTTCAAAGACCTGTAGGTGTCGAAAAGCGTTTTATTTTATTTATTTTATTTTATTTCATTTTTTATCAAAAATATTTTTTGGGTGACTTGGTACACCCAAATTCAATACCAAATAGCGACTCTTCTTTTTCTTGAAAATCCTTTTAGACTAAATTTTGGACCCAAATTATCGCATTCGTTAAAGTCCCATTTTAGCTCCTTTTTCACTCATCTTTAAATAAAAACACATTTTATTTCCATCGCGAAAAAATGGGGCGTGACAGGTTCATTATCTAATCGACCAGACCCTTGCTGACTTGACTCGAGTAACTAGCCAGTGGAGTTTGGTTCCCAAGAAATCAGTATAGTCGATGAGATAACATCTCTAATCGACTTAATCAAGATAAAAGTATGGAGATGGAATGAGAGGCACCTCCCACTAGGATTGAATGTGGTACATGCTGCCGCTCAGCACTTACAAGTCAAGCACAAGTACAAATTCAAGTACAGGTCAATCAAGTTCAAGCAAGTACAAGATCATTCAAGAAGGGGAGGACGAGTGCGAATAAGGGCACAGTTGCCTAGCCCTAACCAAGCAACAAATAATGCCTAGCATGTCACATTTTCACGTATTTCAAGTATTTCAAGTCAATATACAGGTAACATGCAAATCAAATTACTTGTACATGCATGAATGAGGTATCAAGTGTTTAGTTGAGTTAGGTCAAGTGCGATAAAGTACACACTCGTCTATGAATATCAAAGTAGATGTTTAGTAAATTTCTAGCAATAATGAGCAGGGAACATGCAGTTGGAATACTCACCAATTAATTGCAACCCTTCACTTTATCCCTAGTTCGTCCTCTTGAACTCTCTTGAGTCCTGTGGTCATATACTATATTAAAAGACTAGCAATACAAAGCCAAAATACATGAAGAAATTAAGGTTTCTAAGACTTTATTTCCTTTCACTTAAACCTCAATTTCACTCATAAACCATACCCAAAATGATTTACCAACTCCAAACTTAAAGTGGAAAATAAATGTAAGAACGATTCTAAGAGAACAGAATTTTTCAGTTTTGCGCAATACTATTTGAAAAATCATATCTCAAGTTTCTTAAGTCCAAAATTGATAAAATTTATACCGTCAGAAAATAAATTCAAAGGGTTACAATTTCTCAGAAGACAAATTTGTAAGATTCTTTCCATAAGTCAGTCAAATTTGAGCCTCAAATTGCTGCTTCATCCAGTAAAAGACAGAACAGGTGTGAAGAATTAGTCAATTTTGAAAAATCACAGATATTCATAGGAATTGAAAAAAATTCTGAAATTTTCACGGTCGATAGTATTCTGAATTTAGTTTGAAACGCCATAAACGAAACTAAATTTGGACTTTTCTACATCAAGATATAACAGATTTTCCAAGACTATCCAAGATTCCTTGCAGACAAATTTTCAGCAACACTTCCTTTGCGTTTACTAATTTTTCCAGCCAGTTCAAGGCTTCATTCTCACCACAAAAACAACCTCAAATCAAGCATATACATACCAAGCCAACAATTCACTAAGTCAAGCATATATATAGCATGTAACCCTCAGTTACTTAGGTTAGAAAATTAAACCCTAAGCTGAAATTTCATTAATCAACACCAAAACTAGAGTATTATCCAATATATTTCAAGATTCAAGGCATCTACTCCATATTTTGCTAAAATAAGAAAGAAAAAGGAAGTTTTAGACTTATACCTTCCAAAACACTTGAAAAAAAATGAAAAACAAAAGCTTTCTTCTCCAAACAACTCCACAACAAGCTTCCTTAGCTCCTTGGTGTTAGTTTAATCGGTTTAGATTTTGAGATTTCATCTCAAACAAGGCTAAATCAAGATGAAGTTGGAAGTTCTCCTCTCTTGGTTTCTCTCCCAATTTTCGGCCACTATGAAGAAAAAATGAGAGAAATGTAGCCAAAAAGAAAGATAAGAAGGAAAGAATTGTTTTTGGTCAACCATTCCTTTGATTACCAACACTTGGCAATCAAGATTTCTCTCATTTTGTTTTTCTTTTCTTCCTTTTCTTTGGTCAAGAATTTCGGCTAGATTAAAGGGTCATTTAGGGAGGTTTAGGTAAAACAAAAACTAGGAGATTAGGGTAAGAAAGTATTGGTCAAGCGGTGTACTCAATCAATAACAAACGGTGCACGTCGGTTCAAGCCTATTTTCCTTAACTTTCTTGTACTTGTGTTTTAACTTATGATTCACTAACTTATTATTAGCACTTCTAATCACATACTTCTTCTTATCTAATACTCAAGCTAATCCACTAAATTTAGTACACACAACTCACGAAGTGATCACATTATCAAAATGCACAAAAAACACACCAAAAATCCTAGTATGCACCATTCCTTTAGAAAACTCATAACTTGAGTTATAAATATCAAAAATTCATACAACTTGGCCTATTAAAAACTAGACTTAAAACACTAATAATCTTTAGAAAACATATGAAAGAGATTTAGTTCATAAGTTGGTCCAAATTGAGCCATAAGCTATTACAACATTCCTATTTTTACTTGTGTAGGGCAGAATTTTCAATCAATTTTGCCAATTTTCTGAAATTTATAGAGATTGAGTCAAACTCTGAATTTTATATTGTAGGAAGCTCTATGAGTCTAGTTTCAAATGTAATAAACAGAACTCAATTCTGACTTTCCTATACGAAGTTATAGTCAATTTTCCAAAGCTGCACAGAGCCTCCTGTGAAAATTTCCAGATTTTCTAACAACTTGAGATTATGAAACTTTTTTTAAACAAAATTCACTCCCTTGGCTCAAATTCAACTATTAAAACAACCAAAAATCTAAGGCAAATAAATTCAAACAAGGGCTAAAAAGACAAGTAAAATTTTGGGGCCTCACAGCATATAGAAGGTCTAGCACGCCGCCTCCAAGATACAATAGCCCAACTCTCTAGTTATTGCTTCCCTTTGATCTGCACAACCAGGAAAAGCAGAAACTTCCCAATGTCTTACTTTGTCCAAAGAAAATTAGAATGAGAGAAAGAAATAAGTGTAGGGAAAATAGTATTTAGAATAATTTTTTGTTGAGAGAAGTACATAAAATTTTCCAAAGAACTCCACTATTTATAGACTACGAAAACCTTTAGAAAATAGGTTGAATGTCCAAGTTCAATGTATAGCTGTTTTTTTCATACTAAATTTTAGAATTTGTAACCTAAAAATTGATTCATATTTGAATGCTTATAATGACTCAATAATTCTTTATTTGACCAAATAATTCATTTGTAACTCCTTTTTCAAATAATTGCATAATAACTCCATTCAAAATGTTTTGTAACTCCCAACATTATAATTCTCATAACTCCCAAATCAATTACATTATAACTCCTTTTAAAGATTTGATCAAGGAAAATTTAAGATTTTATTAAAATATACTAACATTCCCCCACTTAATTTAATAACATTTGAAAGAGATAAAAATTTGGACAAAATGAGAACATCATGCATAATGAAGCATTGCTTTGAATGTGTGTGAGAACCCGTAAAACCCTAATTATTTTCTTAGGGTTTATTACCCCTTAATTGCATATATTTTTGCATTTTCGGGTTTAGAAATATTTTCTGGTAGATTTTATGCGTAATTATAGTTTTAAGATGATTTTTCTAGTATTGGAGAGTTTTTAGAAAATTAAGAGTAAATAGTGGACGTGGGACCCACTAGTGCGAAAAGTTCGGAAAAATTCGGCCAACTAAATTAAGTTTTGGATACTGGAATTATTTTATCGGGTGTTAAGAGATAATTAGAGGAAGCTATTTGGATTGATGTGAGAGGGAACAAAGTGATAGACTTGCATTAAATTGGGTGACAAGTGTCACCATTTGATTGGGTTACCTTTAAGACTACTATTCCATGTCTTACCATTGACCAAATAAATCACAAAATTAACCAAAAATTGCACCATTTTCTCCTCTCAAGTGCCGGCCTCTCTCTCAAAGGAAGAAAGAAAACCTCTTCAAGTTTTGGCTTCAATCTTGCTTCAATCATCAAAACCAACCATCCAACCTTGATTTTTCTCCATAAAACACCGTCAAGTAGTGGTGGTGAGTTGTTGTGTGAAGTTATTTGGAAGGTTAAGGTGACCCATAGCTCTTTCTCTCTTGTTTTAAAGGTAAGTTGTGAAGAACCACCCTCCTTCTTTAATTGATGCTCAAATCATGCTTAGTGGAAGTAGAAGATGCAAGTTTATGGATTAATTCTTGATTTGTGGTTGAATTGATGACTTTTTATTATTTTTGGGAAATTTTCTGTTTTAATTCAAGCATGATGGTGTGGCTCTCTATGATGTATGGAAATGATCTATAATGACTTAAGGAGGTGGGAAAAGTGATTAATTGCAACCAATTTCTGTTTTGGAAGAAAATTGGAAAATCTAGGGTTCTTAAGGGTACATTCTGTCCGAATTTTTAGGTACTAGATAGAGGCCGAATTGGCCTTAGCTCAAAACATGAAAGTTGTAGGAAATGACATTTTAAAGGTGTCTACAAAATTTCAGGTCAATCTGAGTTGTGTGGAGTGAGATAAGTCGAAAATACTATTGCTGTTCTGTTTTAGCTGTGGACAGATTTTGAAAATGATTTTTTCTAAAAAATTGTATCTTTATGAATATACCTTTCAACGCCACTGACCACGCTCAATTCCAAGTTGAATTGAGTGAGTTGTGGCCAAAATCCGAAACTGACTCAATGATTTGAAACCCTCTTTTTGGCTAGTAAATGTCTAAATCTTGATTGGGACTTGTTGTTTCGAAATTCTTGGTGTTAATCACATACCAAATGCATCTTTTATGTTTCTTAGACATTACCTACATAAAAGGGACCGTGTTTGAGACATTTTTGTTGGCCAAACATTTTGAAAACGGAAAACTCAAGTACAAGGCAGATTTGCCTCGAAAATTTGGAAACTTTGGTAACCTGGTTAACCAACTTTCCATGCGTATTTTTCCATGATAATTGACAGAGGAATATCCCTCATATGGTATTATAATACTGCCAAATTTGGTGCCATTCCGAGTTCATTTCGTTGTTTAAACAAAGTCCCAAAGTTTGTAATTTGAATCTGGAAATTTGCCTAACCGTCTCAATTTTTCAGCAAATTTGAGCTACTATATCTTGGTGCTCAAAACACCAATTTTTGTTCTGCTTATTTTTTTTTAAACTCTGATTGTAACTCTAATTGAGTTTCAAATTTGAGAGGCTAGTTCAAATTCTGTGAATTTTGCCAAATTTTCAAAGTTGGTCAAAAACCAACCCCAAAACTGCCTTGATAGCCTAAAACAGTAATTTTGAGTCAAATTTTGAATGCCTTCCATTTGGAATCATGGAAAAGTAGTTTCTAGAAACTTTTGGTACTTTGGAAGAAGTTTCCAACAATACCATGTTTTCCAATTTTGGACTTGTAAAGAGTAAGATACAATTTTTCAAAAATCGCATATCAAAGCTAAAATTTTCGAAACTTAAGGAAATGGAGTTTTCAAATTCTCATTTTTCCTTCGATATAATATGATCGTTTTACACTTGAATTTAGAGATGAAAACCAGATTTCTCTTGTGCTTTAAAACCCCGCCTTTAAGCCTTGATTTACTAGTAAATAGGGCTCATTTTCATGAGATTTTCTTAGATTGTACAAGTGTGCAATCTTCCTCGATAATTAGGGGTTTAAGCGATAGTGTGTAATAGACAATTACTATTTGCTCAGATACTCAGGGAGACCTTCAAGAGGATCTCGAGGGGAACACCAAAAGGCTTGTTTACACACTTACTCCTTTGTTTCGATTGGTGAGTGTCAAGTGCATGAATTTTTGGTTTGTAAAGGCTAAATGTTATGTGGTATATGTAATTCGATGTTTGGTTGGGTTCGGACGAGTCGGTTACTATTCATGGCCGACTCCAGATTTCATTTTCTTTTATTTTGGGTTATTTTGCCTTTTTGCCTTATTGGCGCGCGTTATAAGTTCTGGAACGTGAAAGATCGCTCTTTACTGCACCGTTAGTCCTGGCGAGAGCTGGGCAGGCAGTCCGCTAACCTCTTTGGTTCGCCTTAGGGGAAAGTGGGGCTGTCACAATGTGAGAACTCAGAAAAAAATAAATAAATAAAACAATAAGCAAAATAATAGAATAGTGTAGAAAAATTTTAGGAATCAAATAAATATATGATAGACACATTGCAAATTGTGACATTTGAATCTATTATATAGTCAAAAAAGTTATACGTCTAGTTGAATTTCTTAAGATCAAATGTATGAAAATCTCCTAGATCAATATATTTAGATATTTTCAAGGTATATACAAATTAAAACAAAAGACATATCGAAATATCGAGACAATGTGCGAGACAGAAAAATTATGGACTCATGGCAAACAAATGACCTAAAATTAAAAAATCAAACCAATCTTAGAATTTTGGTTAATCTTCTATGCAGCCAAGAAACCAACTAACTGACTACATAAAACGAAACAGAAAGAGGCATAATACTTGACTCCATTGGAACCGAATGGAAGCTATCTAAGCGGTGGAAGGAAAACAAAACAAGTAGGTATTGGCTGTGTGCTGGGGTGGTGAATAACACCTGGGATGATAGCTGCCCGTTTAGTTGCTAAGTGAAGTGATGATCAGGGAAGAAAAGAGACAGCGGTGACATTGTTTGGGCAATGGCCTAGTGAAGAAAAACATTTCATTTCTTTTCTTACCAATCATGCACTAGGAGCAAAGCTGAGAGAGAGATTTGGACACCCATTCAGCTAAACGTAATCGAGTGAAAGGAAAAAGAAAACATTTCTGGTTTCTCTTTGCCTCTAGTCTGCAACCGAGAGAGTGAGCGTGAGAGAGAGAGGCACTGGCTTGCTTCATTTCTTCAGCTAGTAGCCTCAACACCCAAACGTGAGAAAAAAAGGGAGAGCTGGTGCAGGAGTTAGAGGGGTGAAGCTAGGAGCAAGAAACCAAACGTGCGATCTGTAATTTGTTTTCAAACGTTAGGAGGAAAGAACGAAGTATGTGACCGCAATTGTTAGGACTGGCCCAGGAAATAGACAAATAACAAAGACATAATAAAGAAATAGAGACACCAAAATTTACATGATTCGGTCAATTGACCTACATCTACAGCCAAGGGAGGAGAAAAATTTCTACTATGAAGAAGGAACTACAAAAGCCGTAGAAAAGTGGTTCCCAAGCCAAAATGACACTTACAAATAGGTTTAGGAAATATTCCTAAACTCAAAATAAGAGAGTCTAAAATATGACTACAAATGGGTTAGATGACCTAAGAATCTAATAGCCCATATAATGCTCTCTTGAGTGGTACACTTAATCCTATCATAGGACCCCTATATTTATAAGTAGCAAAGGAAAGAATTTCCTTTGGGATCTGTCGATGTGGGATGAATCTACATTAACAAATCTCCACCTTGACGTATCCACAATATCGACAATAGCAAAAAATTGCTCCACCTTCTCCACATAAGCTCCAATGGGCCTAAATCACCAACAACGAATACCAACCCAATATAAGCATTGTTTGAACTTGTAAACTAGAAGAGGTTTCGTGAACATGTCAGCAGGATTCTCTTTGGTACTGATTTTCTGAACAAGGATTTTTCCCTTAGCAATGATATTCCGAATGAAGTGATACTTCATATCATTGTGGTTCGTCCTCTGATGATACATCTGATTTTTAGTCAAGTGTATGACACTTTGACTATCACAGCGAATAATAGTAATACCTTGATGTAGACTAAACTCGCTAAACAAATTCTTCAACCATAAGGCTTCTTTGATTGCCTCGGTCATAGCCATGTATTCTGTTTTTGTAGTAGACAAAGCTATGACAGGTTGTAATGTAGTTTTCCAACTGACAGTATAACCGCCAATGCAAAATACATAGGCTGGCTGAAAGTGATTTTCTCCTTTCAAAATCCCCAACGTAGTCTGAGTCTACAAAACCAACCAAAGTATTATTATTTCTTTCAAACTGCAAACATGCATTTGAAGTACCTCGCAAGTATCTGAGAATCCACTTCACACCCTGCCAATGTGTTTTACCAGGGCAAAACTTATACCTGCTAACAACACTGACTGCATGTGAGATATCTGGACGAGTATAAACCATTGCATATATAACAATGTCAACTGCATTGAAATAAAGAACCTGTGCCATATCATTTTCCTCTTCATCTGATTGTGGTGATTGAGCAGTAGATAGTCAAAAATGGCTAGCAAGAGGAGTAGATACTGGTTTAGCATCTTTAATACCAAAACGCTCCAAGACTTTCTCAAGATAATTTTTCTGCGTCAAGAACAACTTCCCTACTCCTCGATCTCGCTTGACATCCATACCAAAAATTTTCTTAGCTGCTTTCAAATCTTTTATTTCAAATTTACTACTTAATTTCAATTTCAAAGTGTAAATTTCTGACAAATTCTTGGCAGCAATGAGCATGTCATCAACATATAACAATAAGTAAATGAAAGAATTATCATTTAACTTTCGGAAGTAAACGCAAGTATTATACATGCTCCTTGAATAACCATGTCCCAACATAAAGGAATCAAACCTTTTATACCATTGTCTTGGAGATTATTTCAATCCATATAAGAATTTCTCCAACAAGCAAACATGATTTTCCTTACCTTCAATCTCAAAACCCTGAGGTTGTTTCATATAAATTTGTTCTTCAAGTTCACCATGCAAGAAAGCTGTTTTAACATCAAACTGCTATAACTCCAAATCATACATGGCAACTAAATCAAGCAAAACACGAATAGAGCTATGTTTAACAACATGTGAAAACACTATATTAAAATCAACACCTTGTACTTGACTATAGCCTTTTGCAACTAATCGTGCTTTATACCTTGCATCTTCAACCCCTAGAATACCTTCCTTTTTCTTGAAAACCCACTTGCAACCAACTATTTTCTTATCTGACAGTGGTTTTACAAGAACCCAAGTTCCATTCTGAGGAAGAGATTCAATTTCTTCATTCATCGCAATCAAGCACTTCACAGAATCATCACAAGAAACTGCTTCTAAATAGGTGGAAGGCTCACCAACTGTATCAGTTTCTTCTGCAATAGACAAAGCATATGCAACTAAATTTGCATATCTTTGTGGTGGTCGAATGTCTCTTCTTGGTCTATCTCTGGCTATGAAATACTCCTCTTCTTCTGAACTATCTTCAACAGTAGATTCGGGTGCATCTACTGGCACTTGTTGAATAGAAGATTTGGTCTGAGAAGGACCAGAATTGCCAATATCAAGCTCCACCTGCTTCTGTGTACTATCAGTAGTACAAGGACTAGAAGACTCCTTTTTGAAAGATAACATAGACAATTCAATAAAAGTAACATTTCTACTGATTACAAATTTTTGAGATTTGGGATCAGAACACCATAATCTGTATCCTTTCACCCCAGAACCATACCCAAGAAAAATGCACTTTTTAGCCCTGAACTCTAATTTTTCATCATTCATGCATGTATGCTGGACATCCAAAAGCTTTTAAATTGGAGTAATCAGCAAGAGTATCTGACCAAACTTTATCAGGAGTTTTGAAATCAAGAGATGCAGAAGGAGAACGGTTGACAATATAACAGGCCATATTGATCGCCTCTAACCAAAAGTCGTTTGTTAACCCTGCATTAAAGATTATACATCTCGCTCTCTCCAAAAGCATTCTGTTCATACATTCGGCCACACTATTTTGTTGAGGCGTCATTTTGACAGTGCGATGCTGAACAATTCCTTCATTTTTGCAAATCTATCAAATTTACCTTCACAAAATTTCATGTCATTATCTGTTCTCAACCACTTACTATGTTTTCTTGTTTGTTTCTCAATCAAAACTTTCCATTACTTGAGAGTTAGAAAAATACCATTTTTATACTTAAGAAAATATACCCAAACTTTTCTTGAATAATCATCAATGAAAGTCAATATGTACTTGGCACCTCCTTTAGAAGGAGCACGAGAAGGCCCCCAGAGGTCTGAATGAATGTAGTCCAAAGTTCTTTTTGTCCTGTGAACTACCGGCAACTGGAAGCTAACTCTCTTCTGCTTTTCAAAAATGCAATGTTCACAGAATCCTCTCTTTCCAATATTTTGACTACCAAGAAGATCTCGTTTGCATAAAATAGATAAGCCTTTCTCACTTATGTGCCCAATCTCATGTGACATAATTTGGTAAAATCAGAATCGGATAAAGTTGATGTTAAAATAGCAGCAGCACCTGTAACAATAGATCCCTGCAAAATATACAAAGTATCAGATCTGTGTGCCTTCATAACAACAAGAGCACTTCGAGTGATTTTGAGAACTCCACTCCCAGCTGAATACTTGCACCCAATAATGTGACGATCTCACCTCCCCCTAAGGCGAACCAAAGGGTTCGGCGGACCGCCTGCCCAACTCTCGCCGGGATTCAGTCGTTCGCTTCAGTTCTCAATTGAAGTACAGTATAAATCTCAAATATTACATCCAAAGATCCGTAAATCTAATTGTACTTCAAACTAAACCACAAAAGATACAAACAATACCAATTTTTCGAATAAGACAAAGGCCCTCAATTCTCACATAAGTACAAGTACAAATCATCCTAATCGAGTGATAGCGCGAGTACAAGTCAAAATTCAAAACAGCTAGACTACGCTAGTTTGTACACGTCTCACGCCTTGCTCGTACCCCTGTAAGGAAAACAAAACTAATGGAGTGAGCTAAAGTTCAGTGATGTTCCAAATATCAAATTGTCCATCAAATAAAGTAAAAGTAGCATGATAGTGAAATAGCGGGCAAAACAAGTCAAGAATGAAGTAATAACACTTCATATAGTCAAAGAATAAATATTCCGCATTTCACATGTAAGGATACAGTTGCTCCTATATTAGCTCCACCATAGCTTGATCGATTGGTAGTTGACACTCCGTCAACTTTCAAGTGAGAAACTAGTCCAGTAGAACACCACTTAACTCCAATCTCCGTCCACCGATCAAACCCCCTACCGGGCCCGAACTCCACAATAAACACTGGTGGTAATACTCGAGTATACCGATTAGTGAGGAGATAACACTCCACTCGACATCACTAACTACCCAGGGTTCGTTATCTAATCGACCAGGCCCTTGCCGGCTCGACTCGACTAACTAGCCACAGGGTTTCTGGAATTCCAGGCAAAATACAATTCATATGCATGTATAGCAAGTTAATTGCAATCGATGAACAAGAACAAATCACATTAGGACAAGTGCGATAAAGTACACTCTTGCCCTTTTAATTCACTTCTATATCATGTAATTACATTGGTCAAGTATTAAACACAAATGTCAAGTTCAATCAGATATTTGGAAGCTCTCACCAAAGATGTAGTGCTTTTACAGATCACGCTCAGGTAGTACTCCTGATTTGGAGTCCAAATCTGCGATAAAACATCGTTTAAGAGCTTTGAAAATCGACCAAAGTTCGAAACTTAAACGTTTCGTTTAACGAGAATCACGTAATTAAAACTTATTTGGAAAATATCTGTAAACTCATACTCGCACTTAAAATATTGAAACTTTAAAGTGATTAACCTTGAAATCTCCGTTTGAGTCGAAGTGACGAGAAAAATATATTTCTATTAGTCGTTGCTTTCATTTTTCCAAGGGTACAAATTTCGGCCGAATTCTAACTTATATATCTCTATGAAAGAAGACTTGAATACCCTAGATGGTTCGAGTGTGATTCGTTCCCGAATCCTTACTCAAGTCGCGAGTACCTATACCTAACTCTCGAGTGAAAATTTGGGCAGCATGCCCTTTGTGTTTACTTATTTTCCAGCCATTTATGGCTTCATTATTTTTCTCAATTCAGCCCCAAAACACACACAAGCAATGTTATCAACATAGCCCTTCAATTAGGCTCCAAAATCAACTAGTTACAACACAAATCTAATAAAACAATCAGAAATCGGTTTTGAGAACAAAAAGTTAACAACAGATTTGACATCTTATAGCATTTTGGTCACAACTAGAGCTATGTTTATCGGATTGGGGTACACATTATACCGTTTGTTACAACTTTCATGTTTTGACCTAAACCTAATTCGGCCTCTAACATGGACGAATGAAGCTGGTTAGAAGCAGGGCAGTTCAATTTTTAAAGCTGGAAATTTTGATGAATTCAAGGTTTATATTCTCATTCATGTCTTAAACTACTATCCCAACTCCCTATCCAAGCTTATAGACATCATATGCTATCCAAACAACAAGAAATACAACTGAACGACTCAAACCCTAACTCAAAAATCTACCATAACCATCAAAACTACGTAAATAACTATCATTAGCCAAGAATATGAGTTGCTGTACAAACTTAAACAAGATTAAGCGAGTGAAAATGAAAAACAGCCTTAACCTTGCCAAAGATGCTTTCAAGAGAAACCTCAACTCAGTCCCAAAGTCACACAAGTAATCTTAACACAATAGCCTTTCAACTAGGCTCAGTGTCATCCACACACAAGGCAATTTTAGCATGTAAGCTTCACTTGGAAATTCGGAAATGGTGGCTAAAAGCTAAGTACAAGTCTTGACCGCTTTAATTAAGGTAACTTGTTAAGAGCGTAAAAGTTTGAGGAAAGGAGAGATACATTAGCGAGAGAAGTTCAATAAGGATACATTTGAAGTCAAGGAAGTGAAAAAATCAAGGTAAGAGATTGGAAGTAGGCCGTCCGAGGTTTTAAAGTCAAGAAGCCCGTTTCTATGCTTCAGGAATCTACTGAGATGAACAGTAATAGTAAACTTTAAAAATTCACAACTCGAGTTCCACAAGTCAAAAAATTATGAAAGTTATACCGTTGTAAAATAGATTTTTAGTACTACCACATCCCAGAAGACACTTTTTAGAGATTCAAATCACAAATAGGCCAAATATTTGATCCAAGTCAAAAATTCATTTTCCTGAAGAAACAGGACAGCCTACTTTGAGGACTCACGGACAGCAGTACACATAGAGGAAAAATATGAAATTTGTACAAAACAAAGGTCCATGAGTCTAGTTTCAAATGCCGCTGACGGCACCTCAATCGGATTTTTCTACACCAAGATATAAGCATTTTACTGAGACTGGTAAGTGAAATCCGAAAATCTGGAAACTCATTTTTCACTTGTGAAAAACTCTTTTTTTTCTCTTTTAAAACCACAAGACTTTTATTCAAACCACCCATACACTTAAGTATGACATTCATACCAGCAATTCTAACATAATTTAAGCATCAAATTTTAACAAAATCCAAAGAAATATACATATATTCCAAGTTTAAAGTATTGTGAGATGTTTAGACTAAGATTAAATCATTTTCTATGCAATATTCAAAGATTAAGGCAAATGAACTCTTCATTTGTTCCATTTAAGTTAAACCAGATTCTAAGTTGTTTGTAGTTTGGGTTTTGTTCCCCTACCAGCTTTTTAAGTGTTAAAAACAATCAATGAGATGCACATGAAAACTAGGACAAGATGTTATAAGATGTTTTATACAAAATTTATAACCAATTATCTTGGAAATTTCAAAATAACACAAGAACTCTACCTCCTAACTCCCTCGGCCAGTACACATGTTTCCAGCTACATTATCTCAGAATTTTCAACAAAGTTCTATCTTTCACTTGCTTAAAACACTAAACACTTAGTATATTTTCTGTCCAATCTAATCTAAAACAAACTTGCATACAATTCCAGCAGCAATTTCACCAATTAGCCTCAAATAATCCTGTCATCAGCAACATATAACCTTTAGCAAATGTTAACAGTGTAAGTATGAAACTGCCTTTCTCAAGTTTATGCATTCTCTCACTCCCAACTTAACATATAGGGGTTGTTGTTATGTTACAAGATAACTTAAGCAGCAGTATAGAATTTATAACCAGGGATTCGAAAAGAAAAGTTAGATAAAACTCTATTCCCTCTCTCGGCTAAAGCTGGAAAATTTCCAGTAACTTTCCTTTAGCAATTTCTAGCTCAAACTTCCAACTTTTCACAAGTTTTCCCAGCTAAACCTCTTATAAACTTAAGATAAATATATTGCATGCATTTCTTAACATTATTCTCCAAAGAAATATTGATAACAAGTTGCAGATTTAAATTTTCACTCTCGATTTCTGCAATTTTCCTTTCCTACAGCTTTTCTGGTGCTACACAGAATTTCCTTTAGCCAAGAGCTCATTTTCCCAGCTAAGTTCAACAAGCAGCTTGTATATATTCAATTATACTAAATAGGCAGGAAGGTATTGCAGAATCTTACCTCTTTTCCCCTAGAATTTGATAATTGCAGACTGCCCTAATTCTCTGCTTCGGTTCCTCAAATTTCTTGCACTAGATTCTCGCTCCAGTTCTCCTTGCTTTACTCTCTCTTGGTTGTGGTTAGCAAGTGTTGAAGCTAGCAAAATTTCTTTCCCTCACTCTCACTTCTACTCTCAGTTTTGGGGTTGGAGAAAAGATAGCTTAGCTCTCGGTTGTTCCTCTTTTGCTCTTAGCAAATTGATACCAAATGGAATCCACCAAATTTTAATCCTTTGTTCAGTCTTATGCTTAGCCGAGAATGGTCAATTCGGTTGCATAGTTAATTGCTCAAGTGTTGAGGTTAAAATGGTCTTTTGAATTAATTTATTTACTTGCTAAGGAGTTGAAATTTTATCATCTTCAAATATTGCCTCAAACTTTAGTTTGTTCCAATTTGCATACACCTATAAGAATTTCTCATGCCATCCTAGGATAGTTTCTAATATCAAAGTAAATAAAATGAAATAAATTCAAGGCATACATATAATTTTCTCGGGTTCTCACAAATAAACTCAATAGTGCCCAAAATGATGAGATTTTTCTTCAAATCTAGAACATGTCTAACATCTGTGAGCGTCCTCACAAAACCATCGTATATTTTAATCCGGATTGTACCTTTACCAACAACTTTACAAACGGTGTTGTTACCCATTAAGACAACTCCACCTTCAACTAATTCATATGTTAAAAATCAGTTCCTATTGGGGCACATATGATATGAACAATCCGAATCTAAAATCCACTCATTGTTAGATCTAAAATTATTTTTCGTTACACAGAAAATGGTTCCATCATTCCCATCAACTGTAATACTAGTTTCGGTGGTCTAATTCTTTTTCTCCTTTTGCTTTTCTTTATTTTTCGATTTAAAGCAATCAGAGATAACATGGCCCTTCTTTTTACAATAGTTGCACACTACATTTTTATATCTGGATTTGGATCTACAAATAAGCTATCGGCTTGACTCCCACTAGTTTCCCCAGTAATATCTCTATTTATCTGCTCTTTAGATTTTAATGCTGATTTAATTTTTCGATACGAAATTGTTTTTTTTCCATAAATCATAGTATCGCGAAAATATTTAAAAGATTGGGAAAGGGAATACAAAAGTAATAGGACCTAATCTTCATCATCAATTTTTGAATCTATATTCTCCAAATCCATAATAATGGAATTAAATTTATCAAGATGGGAGAGTATAGAAATACCTTCAGACATCCGAAACATATACAGGTTCTGCTTCAAATATAGTCGATTCTCAATTGCCTTCTTTATATACAAGCCTTTCAATATGTCTCACATAGCCTTGGTCGTAGTCTCCGTTACTATCTCACGTAATACCTCATCGGAGAGATTTAAGATTATGCTGGATCTGCCCTTCTTATCCATATTGGCGAAATCCGCATCCTTTGCATCTTCTAGATTATTCTCAATTCCTTGAATTGTCAAATCAACTCCGTCGTGTATTAGAATGGCCTCCATCTTGAGTTGCCACATGCCGAAGTTAACATTCCTGTCAAATTTCTCGACAACCATCTTTGTTATTGTTATTGTTGCCACAAAATCTGTAATTATATCACCAGGTACGCGAGCCTCACAGGATAAGGTAGGCCCCACAGGTGGACCGTACGAACCCACAAAACGGGCCCCACAGGCAGACCCTACTCGACCCCACAAATGGACCCCACACGCCCTCACTGACGGACCCTACAAGCGAACCCTACACGGCCCCACAAACGGGTCTTACTGGATTAACAGGCCTGAGAAATCTTTCTAATGTGAAAGATCAGATTATACTGCAACCACAGAGCATACTCAGAATAATCTCAAACTTTGATACCAATTTGTTAAGATTGACCCAAAAAATAGACAAAAACAAAGACATAATAAAGAAATAGAGACACCAAAATTTACGTGGTTCTGTCAATTGACCAACGTCCACGGGCGAGGGAGGAGCAAAATTTCTACTATGAAGAAGGAAATACAAAAGCCGTAAGAAAGTAGTTCATAAGCCAAAATGGCACTTACAAAAGGGTTTAGGAAATATTTCTAAACTCAAAATAAGAGAATCAAAAAATTTGACTACAAATGGGTTAGATGATCCAAGAAACTAATAGCCCATTTAATGCTCTCTTGAGCGGTACACTTAATCCTATCATAGGACCCCTATATTTATAGGTAACAAAGAAAAGAATTTCCTTTGGGGTTTCTCGATGTGGGATGAAGCCACATTAACAGCAATACCTTCTAAACAGCTAGTACACCTGGATATTACTGTGGTTTGTTGGAATGTAGCTAAGAAAAATTCAGTTTGATAGAAGGGAAAACTTGTTTAGGGAGTGGTTACCTTTCTGCTCCATCCAAGGTATTGGGCAAATATCGGGTCGATTCCTCAAGGAGCAACTAAAACAAGTATTAGGTCCTTTACTTACTCTATTATTTAGACTTCAATCAAATTAAGCAAGAGAATCTAAAATTACTACTACCTACAATTCTTAACTAGTCAATTGCAAGATAACAAATGGAGAAAGTTCACTAAATACTTTAGTCTAGGGATGTAGATTCCACTTATGGCATAAACAACACAAATGAATAGATTTACCTCTTGTTACAACCCTTGTTTAACTAGGGATTTATTTTCAAAATTACCAAATCTCATTCTCATGATGAAATGGCCTAGACTAATCTAGTTTTCCCTATTCCCGTGGTGAATAACTAATCTTACTCTTGTTTCCTTCATGAAATGCAAGTTTAATCCACTTAAGTGTACCTCTATTCTCATGAGCCTACTACTTAAGCTCTACTCATGTTGTTCCATCATTATTACCAATTTTCATTGAATAAAAACAACCCAGAGCTTGTTATTGGTGATCAAACAACAATAAGGGCTAAGTATGCACAAGTAGACAAGTTAATACAAGATGTAACAAGTGTAAGTCATATTCATTTCATGTCAAGTAGCCATAAGTTTCATCTACTCTCTAGATTTAGAAATTTAGCTACTCATGTAAGATATAACAAGTAAACTCATAATTTCATTAATAGAATACATCATAAATTACAAGTGAAAGAGAGATAAAGAAAGCTTAGCCAAGTTAATGGAGAAGCTCCCAAATATCTCCAATGTCTTTCATAAAATGATGCTAAGATGAAGTCTCCAAGTGTTTCTGCAAAAATTGCTAGCTTGAAAGAATATGACCAGCCTCAGTTTTTATGCTAAAATCTGATGTCCCTTCCTTCTCCTACAGTAATTTTTTTCTCCCCTCTTGATTTTCCAAATCTAAGGTGTTAACAATGTCAACAAAACAATGTTCAGCCTCTTGATTCTACCCCATTTTTTTGACTTGACAATAAGCTATTTTTCTTCCTTTGTGCATTAGAAACATGTGTAGCCTAAGTTTTCTCTCCAACTATAGCTGGAAAATAGTTTGAAAATGAGAAAAATGGCTGAGCAAATTGCAGAAATACGGCTGCCAAATGCGTATTGATTTTTGGCCTCGCTTCAACTACAATTTTCTCTATGATAGGTGCCGAACTGGCTGTTGGGCAAAACATTAAAGTTGTAGCTCTTTGAATTAGCATTCCAATACTTCAAGAATCATCTAATTTGGAGTTCAGTGGATGGAGATATTGTCGAAATACCATAGACTGGTCAATTCTGTGTTTTAGCTTTCGACCATACAGATAAGCTTCTGTGTTTCGACTTTTTGACCAGGAAAACGGATGAATTGGACTTTGATGTCTCATACCAAATGTAGATCTATCTCTTATCTTCAAAATTATATCAAGATCACCTCGATCCGATCATTGTAGCTCAAGATATAGTCGAAATACGAAGATGTGTCGAAACTGTCTTCACTTGCATTCCCTCATTTGAATGTTTTGCACTTCATGTCTTCTTTAAACCTATTCAAATCATCAATTATCATCCAATTTTCTTCTCAATTCACTCCAACTGATGATTGAGTCCTTAAACCTATAAAAACATGAAGTTATTTTCATTAAAATCCATAGAAATGTAATTTTTGCCAATTAAACCATAAAATAGATATCTTGACCAAAACCCTAGTTAATTAATTATAAAACTAGATAAAACACACCAAAACTAATTAATAAAGCACACTAAAAATACTTAAAATATCTACTTGTCAAAAGGCATATTATACACACATAGTACAACATATATCAATCAATTTAGCAGCTATATAATTATCAAAATTTTGAATTTAAAGCAAGACATCAAAACAGAATTTTGGCTAGCCCTCTTCCTCACGGTTTCTTCCACTTCCTCTCCACTATCAAACCATAATCAAGCCATAAATCACATAAACAACCACAATCAAGCAATATAGCCTCAAGTCAGCTACCTAAAGGCCTCCTCAAGACATCTAGCTTAGAGGATTTAAAACAAGATAAATGTTTCCTCAAATCCGCTAGCCTATAAACTTCATTAGGGTTTCAAACCCATGAAAACTAACCACTAGTCTTCTTATAATTTGAAAAATTAAAGGAGAGATGAAGGTTACCTCTCCAAGCTTTGAACCCTAGTTGTAAGTGAGTGTTTCTACCCAAAATTTCACCAAGAAACTCCACAAGCCTTCACTTTTCTTCTTGCTAAAGTGAAATTCCAAGAGATTAGAAAGTTGGATGAAGAAAGCAAGCAAACTTGGAGCTAAAAGAAATGGAGTTTCCTTTCCCCTTTCCCTTGCTTGAGTTTGGTCGAGAGAGGAGAGAAAGATGAGGGAGTTTGAGTGATGATTCTTGTTTGGGAAGATTGAAGAAAAGTAGTCATTAAGTTTGCAAAAAAGTCAACCCTTAATATTGTCTCAAATAGGGTTTCGTACTACCACTTTCTCTCTTATTTGATACACTCATACACTAATCCTCCAAGATAATTCCTCTAACACTTTAATTACTCATACTTATGAATCTAGTACTAATTCCTCAAATCTCCACTTAGTCATACCGGCACAACTTACGAGAAACTTTCGACGCGCACGCGATAAAGAGAAATTCAAGGGCTATTCATGCAATACTAGTATAATTTCTACAAATCTCCAAGATCATTGTACTCTCGGACTAAACATTAACTCGAAAAATGTGTATTCACTATTTCTTACTAGATGAGTCGCAGAAAATTTAAATTTGCTAACGGAACGTTTTAAAATATAAGTGAGACTTTGTTCAATGTAAATGGATTTAAAATAGTTGAAA